GTTGTATGAAGTAGCCAAATGAGGATGATTTGAAGGAAGACTTTTTTTTTTAATTCCAAGGTCTTTTTCGTAAAATGAAAGTGCTTTCGTGTACTCTCCCATGTTGTCATACACACCACCGATGTTGTTGTATGAAGCAGCCAAATCAGGATGATTTGAAGGAAGACTTTTTTGTCGAATTTCAACTGCTTTTTCGTGTAATGAAAGTGCATTCGAGTACTCCTTCATGCTATCATAAACAGCAGCGATGTTGTTGTATGACTGCGCCAAAGAAGGATGATTTGAAGGAAGAGTTTTTTTATACATTTCATGTGCTTTTGCGTGAGATGAAAGTGCTTTCGGGTACTCTCCCATGCAGTGATACGCCAAACCGATGTTGTTGTATGAAGTAGCCAAAGAAGGATGATTTGAAGGGAGAGTTTTTTGACAAATTTCAAGTCCTTTTTCGTTATACCAAATAGCCTTTTCATAATCACGTTGATTCAAATGGACACCACCAAGCTGATTATAATAAAACGCTTTTTCACCCTGATCAGATGTCTGTTTGAGTAATACATTATAGAGTTCTTCAGCTTTATTAAATTGACCAACTGTAATCAATAATTTGCCCAATCTTTCCCATCCAGTATTACCACCAGCTTCTTCTCGTATCCGATCAGTAAGTAATCGTAGTTGTTGGTCATCATCCGATGTTAATTGTAGTTCAACTTGATAAAGTTGATTGATATTATCTATTTGTTTAATTGCACCCACTCGAAAGACAGTGTTCATTGAGAACAGAACTTCATCTTCATCCTTATAATAACTCATCTCTTTGATGGAGGCAAATGGTGCGGATTTAATACAAGGATCAATCGACATTATAAAAAGAATACCGACCTTATTTGGTTCTGTTGAAGCAGGTTGAGCAAAACCAAGGGACACTTCTTTATTTGTACTGGTAGATACGAAATTGCTAAATGACATTAATCCACCTTTTGTTTTCTGAAGCTTTTCAAAGTCTGATTGCATAAGACCTTGTCCTCGATAAACCATAAAAGTTTCTCTACCATAAATGCTGACCTGTTGCTCGTACAGCTGTTGAATCTGCTTATGTACATCACGTAGAAAGAAGCCCATATTAATGATTATATTGGCATCCAGTGTTCGAAGAGCATAGTTGAGCATACCATAGATATTGGATGGGAAAGTATACCACAATATAGCTAATTGATCATGGTACTCTTTCTCAAAACGGTTTATAATGGTTAGCGACACGCAGTCGTAATCTCGACAATAAGCAATAAAATTTTTGATGGCCTGTTCACCATGTTCCATATCGAGAAGAATATCCTTGAATATTTGGGTGTACATAAATGTTGGTTCCAACTGATTCAAATTATCAGTTGAAGCCATTTCATCCGCTGTGATAAAACTCATAGCTATCGAGTCTTGATGATATTGTTTAATATCCAATTGTAATCCTTGACATATGTCATCAATGTTGGTATGAACGCTTTTGATTTTTTGCCATTTTTTTGTCCATTCTTCATGTAGGGTTTCAATATCATTGAAGATGTAGACACCATCCAGCTGAGGAATATCATTGATGATGGACATTATTTGTTGAAATAAAGGATCTTTGACAACGAGAAAAGACTTGATGTCTTCTTGAGCATTTGTAAGAAAGTCGATACATTCGTCTCGCTGCTTAAAAATATTGACATTGTCAGTAATTGTTTTTAATTGTGTCAGAATATCTTGATATTCTTGGTTCTCTTCATCCATACACTCATCTAAATACAGAAGCGAATAATTTCGAACCATTCGTCGCCTTTGTTGAATAGCATCCGATGGTATTATGGTAGTGTTGTTGTTATTCATGGGCGCGTTTAATGATAAAGAAGCTCTTAGATTGGATTCTGATCCACTCGTCTGGTCCTTTTTATAATTTGATGTTGAATATAAGCTTAGCAATAATTGTTGTTTTGCAGATGGTAAGAAGACTCACCACTTCTATTTATAACAGCAATGGTGTATTTTTACAGTCTTCTTTAATGTATAAAATATATATATTTTTTTATCAAGGCTCAATGAGAAACTTCAATTAGTTACTTTTTAAGATATTGTTGTGAGGAGCAAGAGACGGATCAATACAAATAAATTTCTTACCAACGTTTGCGATAGAACGAAATGATTTCGTTTTATACTCATTCTTTCCAACGTTTTTTGACCTTATCTATGCAATTATTTTAGTGATTCAATGTGCCATCGATATTTTATCATCGAAATGGAATAAAAAAAAGGAAATATGATTCATTCAGTGAATGTTACTTCCCTTCGTCATACATTGTTTATAGTTGTTCTTCCCAGGCTTTGTGGCCTTATCTATGCAATTATTTTAGTAATTCTATGTGCCATTAATACTTTATCGTCGAAATGGAATAAGAAAAGGAACTATGACTCATTCAGTGAATGTTGCTTGTCTTTGTCATACATCGTTTTGTTATTAAATGGCAACAAGCAATTGGTTAGAATAAAATGACTGTACCAGTAAACGAGAAATAGTTATTGATTTAAGAATATCGTGGAAGCTTTGTTGTTTTCTGTTCGAAAAAGAAAATTATTTCGTATAAACATATTTAAAACAGTTATATTGTAAATAATTTTTAAAAATTACAAAATTGTTAGACCTAAAGGTATTAAAAAACTTTGTCACAAATGATAATGTGGTATATCATCCATCTAATCTTACGAATTCAAGCTTTATAATTAGAACACAGAATACTATTTTTGTACGGAAAAAAAATTAGCACGCATTCATAATCGTAAAAATGACCAGATATAAACCTAATATCGTTTATTACATTGTCGATCAAATGATGCTATTTGAACAAGAACAAACCTTTTCTTCTGTAAAATATTCTAGTAAAAGTATGTTTTGCTACCAAATCGACTAATTTATGAAATACGTTCTTTATCAAATTATCAATTGTTTATTTTTTTGTATATTAGTAAAACTATTTGAATACAACATGGATGATCTTGTTGTGATAAACAGTATATATGTATATATTGTAATAGAGATCATCAGAAGGGAATACTTTACTGTGAAAATGTCGAAAGTGATTTCAGTCTATTTCAATTACTCTCACCTACACTAACACTATTCGAGTATGCTGTAGCAAGATATATGGTGTACTTTTATGTCATCAGAATGTGCATAACCTGCGTTTTTATCATTTGCGATATTTTAATTTTCTACATTTTTTGTGTCGACATTCCCTCTTTCTGTCTTTTCAAAGCATGCCAAGGAAATAAAGACGATACCTAAAAGAGTTATGCTAACGTCTTTAAATTCTCGAATTTGTATGCTGCTAAATAATATTTCCAAAAAATTTGTATTAAAAACAAAACTCATGCAAAATTTTTGTATCATCGATTTTTATTTCAAGAATACTGATTTTGATTGATAAAAAAGAAGTTGAATAGATACGATAAAAATCTTGCAACGGTACATGCATGCACTACTAAATTTATGTACATTATAAATCATGTTGCATGAAAACCAATGAAGAAAAATGCCGTTAATAGTATTTTGAGAGAATTGTGTGTAGCATACAAGTATTCTACGTATATAAGACAAATAATTTCTTTTCGTTTAAATTTAAAGATAAAAAGCATCTCACTCATATCGTTGCTCTTGCACACACTCTCAAATTCTCAAGCAACATTGCATTCAATTTGTATCAATTATAAGAGAGTATAACATTACGAAAGATTTTCTTGAAAACTATTTTTTAGTTCTTTTTTATAAAGAACGATTTCTCTGTATTTTATGAACATCTGTCTTAATTTATGACATTTTAACTTGATTCTTTTCTAAAAAAATAGAATACTATACTCTTAAAATATTCATTGTTAGAAATACTTTTCTTGTAAAAAACTAATTATATATCTCCTCTTAACTAAACAGATTTCGAAATCATCCTAATCGATCTTTTTGTAGAACCTCTTTTTATTGAATATTCACTATGAAAAAGAAGTAAAACCTTACTTTGACAAATGTTTTATCGATCTAATATTCTGTTAGTGTTGATTGATATTTGAGATGTTATTCTTTCGATATATTCATATTGAGAGAATCCTTTTATCGCGTCTGTGAAATAAAAAATAAAAAATTTTTTTGTTCAGATAAATTTTGTTTTGTCTTTTTCAGGAGACTTTGCATTTCCTTTAAAACACTTTGTTTTCACATCCTTCCTTCAAATTTTAAATATCATGATCATTTATTGTAGTAATATTTGATGATAAATGAGATTTGGCATAAGTCTGTTCACGAATTAGTTTTGCAAAAAAGGAAATAAATTTATTGTTTTTATTTATCAATTATTTCAAAACGTTGTATTTGTTGCACATGCTTCAATAAAAAAATATTTTAAATTGGCGTCAATATGTAGGCGAATAGAAGAAAAAAAAGCCTGCTGTTTTCATGATCTTTACTTTTTAGTCAGATACCGTCGGATTTTTCTATCACTTTAACAAGTTATTTTTATTCAATTTTATAGAAATAAATGTTAACAGAAAAGGTAAGAATTCTCAACATCGTGAATCATTTTCGATTGATAAATACATATTTTGTTTGATTATTCTAGAAGAAATATATAAAAAATAGTAAACAAATGTCGAAAATCATTTGAATATCATTCATCTAATGATTAACATAGATTAATTGGTTTTGACTTTTTCTTTTTTTCAATAATTTTCATTTTTAACTTCTTGACTAGTAGCTGATAATTTCTGCCTTCGCCCGCTATTGATTAATGAACAGATCGTACAAAACAAAACTCTCAGTTATTATTTTTATTTCCGTAAAAAAAATAACCAAGCTTCCTGGAGAAAAATCATGCCACTGACTTTTGTAGCCTGACTTATTTTGTTCACAGATGGTTTGTGTTGAATCAGTTTAGAATATTTTTTTCAAGTATACTTTTATTCAGATGTCTATCATATGCAGTGAATAGCGTATATTTCATTTTCTTTTCTAATAATTTTTTTATTCACATAAAAATAATATTTATAAATTTAAACGAGATAGTGAATGACCGATAGTTATGAGCACAATAAGTGTAAGTCTAATATCGTTTTAGATAGATGTGAAATTTTGAAGTTTCAATCTATTGTCGAAGACAAAATGGCAATCAGGGCCAATCTTCGTGCTGCTTTAAGTCGTCTTAAGCATCGTCTCGTTCACTTGAACCTATTCGATACTGGTAGTCAAGATGAAACGATTATACGAAATGAACTTCGATCAACTCGTGTTTACTTATTTCTTTTCATTATATCAATTACGATCCTTACTCTTACCTACAGTATTATATCTTATACAACAACAATTGTTGTTCCATCTCCCTCGTTAGTAGAATATTCTAATCTAATAGAAAAACCAACATTGCAATGTTTTTGTTCAAATACGACAGTAAAATATGAAAAGTTCGCTCATATTAAACCTCATTATCACGAATTGTGTGAAAGTGAATTTGTGTCTGATGACTGGATCAAACATTTATATTTTCTATACGAACAAAGCTGGAATAAATCAGTTAGATCTGATTTTCGTCGGACAAGTGTATTTCAATTTCAAACACTTCGTTCACTCTGTCAATTAGCAAAAGACACAATCAATCATAGTCTTCAGTCTTTCGATTATACAGATTTCGTTGGATCTGAACTGGTTCCACAAAATGTATTTGAAGTTCAGATTAATTCCTGTATTCGCGATTTCATTGAGAAAATACCACAGACATTTCTGCAAACTTTACAATTTATACAGGACACAACAGCACAGAGTTTGTTTATGACTGGCGCCTCAATCACCAGTGTTCAGCCTGACACTCAACAGGTAGATGGGTCCCATTCCGGTATTTATCCGTATCCTGGCATCAACTACACATTTACAGACGGCTCGAGCTGCGTCTGTTCCAGTTCAACTGCTACGAATTGCATGGGCATGACAATATTTGAGAATACGACTGTTTCTGGTTTTCAAACAGGCTGTTACATGTTAAGTGCATTGATGAACTCGACTCTTGAAGCATTCTATAATCAAACATTGATCGACAAGCTGGCTAATGCATCGAAAACTTTCCGTAAACTGGATTCATCAAATCCAAACGAGAAAATTGACGTATTACTTAGTAAAATGTTCGTCGAAATTTGGTGTAATACAACATCGTTTGAAAACTATTTTCAAAATTGTGCACCCGATTCATGTTCTTATACAGTAACGCAAGGTTATAGTTTTTGGGATATTTTGATCATATTATTCAGTTTGTTTGGTGCATTAATATCAGTATTAACATTCTTATCACCCATTCTCGTTTTGCATGTGTGGCCATTTATTGCCAAGTTTATTTTCCGACGACGAGTACCTGTTGCAGTTGAAACTCGACCTGGTAAGTTTTAGAGCATGAATTATGGAGAAAATAAGATGTCTAAATTTATGATTATTTTAGTATCGTCGATATGTACAAAAATAAGAAGATTATTTCAATTCATCAAAAAAACACTTATAAATCTGAATTTGTTCGCAAGTGTTCCACCTTCACAAGATGAAACTATTCTTCGGCGACAACGTTATCAAACTCGATTGTATATAATCATATCATTGGCAACTTTAATCATTCTCATATTTTCTATATCCATGAATTCTCATCGAGTAAATGTGACTATTGAAAATCCATCATTAACCACTTTTGATAAACTTGATAAGCAATTTTCGTCGACACTCAACTGTCCATGCAATCAAACAATATTAGAATATCATCAATTTATTTTAGATCTCAAACCTCAACATCATGAAATCTGTGCGTCTGACTTCATTTCTCGTCGTTGGATTGATCTGCAGCTGATTACATCTTCATATAAACTATTTTATACCAATGATATTCATTATCAATCTGCAATCCATTTTCAACTTTTATCGACACTTTGTCGTGTTGCTCAACAAACAGTTGATGATCATCTTCAATCGTTCTATCAAACAAAGTTTATTACCAATCAAGTTCTTAGAAATTCATCGTTCCAAACACAAATTGATTCAATTATCGAGCAGTTCAAAAGAATATTAGCAGAATCATATAACCGTACCATTCAAGTAATAACAGCAAATTCCGAAATCAATCAATTCGTTGTTCCACTCAATTCTCTTTTTAAAGACTCAGGTTCAGGTGTCTCATTAGAACCTGCGACAAATGTTCTCCGGTATAAAGTTGAGAATGGATCATCGGTTATTTACCATACATGTGTATGGTTGCTTTCGAATGAATGTGTCCTGGAAACGATTATACGCAATAACGATTTCACTGAAATTATTCCAGGGATGATTCAAACTGTATTTCCTCTTCAATCTGTTCTACTATCAACATTAGAATGTTTCTATAATGAGACATGTCTCTCGAAAATTACCAATTTAATTGATTCGAAAGCACTATCAACAAAATTTTCAACACTTCGTTTATCATTGTTATCCGACAATGAAAGTCAGTATGATAAAATCGAGATATTAGTAAATAAACTTTTTATTCAATCATGGCCTACTAATCAAAGTTCATATGAATCTTACTTTAATCAGTGTCATCCGTTAACTTGTCAATATAGTTATGAAAGTCGATTTAGTCTTGTCTACGCTATCACGACCCTAGCTGGACTTTCCGCAGGTCTAAGTATTCTCCTCCAGTTATTGGTACCATTTCTCATTAAAGTGTTATTCGAGATCTGGTATAAAACGATGAATCGGCAACGAAATAACAACACGCAAACAATTTCTATCAGACAAAGTAAGAATTCAATAAGGAGTTTTTCATGAGAATTTCGAGAGTTCTTATCAAAAGTGATAATCCGATGTTCGATATACTTATAGAGCTAATAGATGTGCACTTTCTCATTTACCTAGCGACATAGTTTCTTAGTTTCGACACCACCCTTTTCTGTATTTTTCGATAAATTTATCATTGTCAATTTTAGAATTTTATGCCGTAATGAATTATATAAAAAAGACGATGACTGAATTCAATCTGTTCCACGCGATTCCACCATCACAAGATCCAAAGATTCTTCGTCGAAATCGTCGTTTAACACGAATCTATCTGGTTCTACTGATTATGTTCTTTTATATTCTCGCTGTTTATACCGTGTTAGCACAAGAAACCGTTCTTGTTATTGACAAAAATCCATCTGTGTCTAAATATTCAGAATTATCTAATCAATATCATCGGACACTGAAATGTCCCTGCAGTCATATTGCAGTGAAATATGATCAATTCATTACTCTGGATCCTCAATATCATCCGATTTGTTCAAGCGCTTTAATTGCATACGAGAAATATAATATTACTTGGCCAAAAAACAGTGATCCTGGGCGAGGTTTCCTCGATGATGTTGCACTTGATTTTGGCGAGAATGATTTTCGACTTTGGATCGCAGAACAACTGATGACCGTGTCACGGATGTGTATACTATCTCGAAACATCTTAAATGCATCACTGTCTTCGTGGCTACAGGGAAATCTTATTACAGGAAATGTGATTTCATCAACTGAATTTCGTAGTCAAACAAAAGCATTAATTAGTGCATTCAAAAGAACAACAGTGAATGAATTCAAGCAAACATTTGACTTAATTCAAGTAACAAACTATGCAAATCAATTAGCAACAGCACAATCATCCAATTGGCAGTTCATTAAGCAAAAATTTAATCAATTCTCTCCATCAAGTGCCTTAACCATACCGCAAATGTATAACGATACTAATTGCTCATGTGCATTACAATCGAATTGCTCGACACTAAATAGTTTTCCTTATCGCACGTCGAATCAATCGTTGAAACTAACTCTTCCAGGATTTCGTTCTGGTTGTTTGTTTCTCAATGCTCTCTTACAGTCAGATTTCACTTGTTTCTACAATAAAACATGTTTATATCTTATGCAAACAGCTTCGTATCACTTGAAATCTGTTCCTTTTCAAATATTCAATGTCTCATCATCATCATCATCTCCAAATCAGACGATTGAAAACATTCTTGGTCAACTTTTTATTGAAGAATGGAAAGAACAAGAATCGTTTAAGCAATATTATAACGCATGTGCTCCTCAATTCTGTCAATATTCTTATTCATCTAAATTTAATGGAGTTTATTTCGTGACTACAATATTAGCAGCATTTGGTGGCTTAACAAAAATATTACATTTCGCAGTATATTGGATAGCACTACTAGTAATTAGAATATTGAATTGTAAAAAGAAAAATCGAGTGATACCACAATCAGATACGAATGTGATTGATGTAAATGATCATACTCCTGAAATAGCTATTTCAAATCTACCAGTGACAACAGTAGAAGTAATTTCATTCTGTTTCATTTGTGTTTTTACTTTGTTCGATGATATTCTAGATCAATACAAATCCAATACAAGAACAAATCGAACCGTAAGTATAACAATATAATGTTGAATTCCTAGCACTGTGTATACTTATCTGTCGTTTTAGAAGACCACAAAAGCGAATAAAGCGAGCAATTATGATATGTGGATGTTTGTTAGTTATTGTTGGAATAGTGATCGTTTCAGTCAACTGGTTTAAAAGTGCAAGCACGCAACATATTTTAACAACTGAATCAACAACTTTGATGGCAAACATGGTAACAAAAGAATCAACAACAACATCTACAGGTAAGCTGAGAAGCATAGACGAAAAAGTAAGGTAATGTATCTTTATTTTAGAAAGTTGTTACCTAACTTTGACAATTCATTCTGAAGCTTATCCAGTTGGTTCCGATGCAAAATCACTTATTCTTGGTGATTTCAATAAAGATTCGTTTTTAGATTTAGCTGTAGCAAATTATAAGAATCATACAATTAGTGTTTTATTGGGCAATGGAAACGGAAAGTTTCGAGTACAAAAAATCTATTCCACAGGAGATGAATCTTATCCATTGGGAATAACCAGTGGTGATTTCAACAATGATACATTTCTAGATATAGGTAAATATCTTTATGTTTCAATGAACAATATTAAATGATCGTTTCATCTGTTTTAGCGGTAGCATTATCGAAGCAAAACGAGATCGCTATTTTGTTCGGTAATAGATCAAACGGTTTATTTGACATTAAGCCGCACACAGTCGCTACAAGTGGCAATGATTTGGATACACTCACTGCCATCGAAGCTATTGATCTGAATGATGACGGATTCACGGATTTAGTGGTTGGCAATCAGCGTCATATACCTCCCGGCTTCAATATTAATTCTTGGTTTCCATTACTAAATCTTGGTGATGGAAATCGGTACAGACATTATTCTACTTATTCACACTTTATTTCCAACATCGAGTCTATTGTCATTGGTGACTTCAATAATGATGGGAAAGCAAATGACATTAGTTTATGTAGTTCCAATGGTGTCGTATCGACTTTTTCTGCCATACAGTATGTTGGTACTATAATGGAAAAGTATCAATATGTTGAAAACAGAATTTATGGAAAACCTCAATCAATGATTCGAGGTCGATTTAATGACGATGAATTCGATGATTTGGCGCTTATTTCGCCTCAAACTGATACATTACATGTTCTACTAGCATATGGAGATGGAACGTTTACTCAACAGATCTATCATAGCCCGCACAATCCAGTATCTGTTGCTGCGATTAATTTCAATAATGATCCAATCGATGATTTAGCTGTCTTAAGTTGTAATCAAACAATAAGAATGTATCTAGGAACAAAAAATGGTATATTTCATGAAAACGACATCTCATTTTATGTTGGCGAAAACAGTACGAATGAATGCTACCGATCACTTCGATCAGCTGATCTAAATAAAGATGGTAGAGACGATCTCGTTTTCATTGATGTCGATTCACAAGCTATTCGAGTTCTCTTAGGAACAAGCTGTAAGGAACATATTTAAATGTCGTTCTTATAGTTGATTTGATTTTGCTTTTGATGTTATGTTTATTTGTATAAAATAAAAACTGAATCTAAACATTTTACAAAATATATTCAGGTCAGTCTTCGTTAGCTTTTAAGAAAATCTTTATGAAATGACTTACTACAGTGACATCGCTAATCTTTTTATTCAATTAAACAGTTTACTAATCAATTAGGGCTTGAGTGAAGATCTTATGTTCATCCTACTGCTTCATCCACACCCATACACCCACGCTCACACTAGTTTCATGTACTTGATTTGCATCATTAAGATTAACTTTGGAAGAACCGGGTGGTTTTATGTGACATAAGAATTTCATTTGTATTCACACCCTTTGAATTGATAATTACTTTACCACACGAACTACATCGTGTTTGCAATGGAATTTGTGACTTTTGTATAAAATAATAAGAGAATTTATTTGTATCAGACAAAGACTATAGTAAAGCGTAATAACGAAATGATAAGTCTCTGATCAAAATGAAAAAACCTAAAACTGGTTTGGATTCTGAGTCTGTCTCTTCTTAATGCTGAAAACAACAGAATGGTTTTTCTTTCGACCAATGAATTAGTATTAACTGACCTTTCTTGAATTTTTTTATTAAGATTGATGACGGGCACACAGTTTAAAATTTTTAAGAGAGAAAGAGCACTTTTATGATCACAAAATGTTCTTCTAATAATTATCAAAATATAGAAATGTCAGGGTAGGCAATAACTTCCTACTGCCTTCCCTCGCCTATGGGGCGCGCCGCCCATTCGTGCATTGTTTTTGATTCCATCTCTGAAATGAGTGCTAATGCATTTAAATAAGCTCAATAGTTGATATCTAGAGATTGTTTCTAGTTTATTTGATGGTGGAAGGGGGTGGGGGTGGAGGGTGGGAGGGAACACACACACGTATAGTTATGAAATAAAGTTAATAAGTTTAGTCGAATTAAAAGAAACTCAATGCAAATCTTTATTGATTTGTTTTATTGTTTCGTCGTCGATACCCATCTCTTTTAGGTATTTTAGGAATTCATGAAATCGATCGCTCAAAAACTTCGAACCGACATGGAAATATTCGCAAACATAATTCCATATTCTTTTAAATAAATTAAGATCAGCTTCGATTGCTATTAGGTGATCCAACTTTCTCCTTTTGATTGCTGTCCAGAGCTGCTGATATGATTCTTCACGTAACGCTGGTATGTATTTGGCAAATCGTCCGGTAGGTTCTCTGGTAGTACCACAAACGATTTCAGCAAATTTATATGAGTCGAGTGCATGAGCATTGATTTCATTCTTGATCCAAGTATCCATGGGATCGTCTTGTTCACAATGACTAACAAAAAGAATTGCTGGTATTTTGTTTTCCAAAAGTGCTTGGTAGAAAAGCACATGATTTTTCTCAAATGAATCATCCAGACGACCTTGTTTCATGACAAAGAGGATGATATTGAAGCCTCGTTTATTCTTCTTAATAAAATTGATCAATTCTTTGATGGCTTTCCTGGCAGGTACTGTACCTCTTGAACCTTCATTCAAACCGACAGTATCAATGAATTCATAGAATTCGTCATCATAGACCGTCTGATATTCATCGAAATTGAATGTACAACCAACGGCTGCACTGCTTACCTTCGCTTTATCGTTTTTCATCAGTAGATTAATAAGACTACTCTTACCAGCACCAGCGTGACCAACCACCATGATTCGGTTAACATCATTCTTGGTCCGTATGTGATTAAGTAATATATCTTTATGCTTTGGATCCTGTAAATATTTGTCGACGTAGCTTTCGAATGGCGCTTTACAATCGAATCCATTCTCTTGACAAAATTGTTCGGAAAATGTTTTTATTGATTCTTCACTAAATTCCGTTGCCACCGTAATATGATCGTGTTGTTGAATTAAAAATAGAAATAATAGATGAATAATCATAATACAATTCCACATATGTTGAAGATGACTAATCACAAGCTTTCGTTCGATATTGTCAAATTGCTTCACTCCAACACCTGCTTCTTGTACTGTATAATAAGTCCAGATAAATATCCTCGAGACAATCGCGCTCTCTTTGTCACAATCAGCAACACACAGATGTTTCTAAACAAAATAGTAAGTATAATAATATTTAGGAGAGAAACATATAAGAAAAAAATAATTGTTAACTCAACCTAAATAAATATTCGCAATGTGAAGAGAAGAAAAACGTAAGAGCACAGATTATAATGGGATTAATCAAAGATAAACATGACCGATACAAATGCTCTCCATCATGATACGCTAACTTGTGTGTGCTGGTGTGTGGGCGTATCGCAATCATCATTCACACCTACACCCACCCTCGGTGATTCTTATTACTTACTCCATATTGAATTTATTTCATTCCAGACATCAGGTTCATGCTTGCCATAATCCTAGTCTGCACTGTCGCGAGGGAACATCTCCAACTGTCGGATCGCTTTCGAGTTCGGGCTCCGTGCATAAAGTAGATCCTAGTGAGGTATAAAAAACCCCACAAGGATAAGTGCCCATGAGCCTTCTATCGTGAGTTATAGGGAATATACTAAAATTTTAGCTTACGGCAGGGTAAATATAAATAAATCGAATGACGGTATTTCGACCTGAGATTTTGCTCACAGAGAGGTCTATATTTGACTAGACTACCCTGAAAATTTCAGCTAAAAAGAATAGTTCCTTCTCAAGATATCAAAGTCTCAAAAAACAGGAAAATCTAGTATCTTTCGTAGGATATCGGTAATTTTTGAGGCTTTAATATCTCAAGAAGGAACCATTCTTTTTAGCTGAAATTTTCAGGGTAGTCTAGTCAAATATAGACCTCTCTGTGAGCAAAATCTCAGGTCGAAATACCGTCATTCGATTTATTTATATTTACCCTGCCGTAAGCTAAAATTTTAGTATATTCCCTATAACTCACGATAGAAGGCTCATGGGCACTTATCCTTGTGGGGTTTTTTATACCTCACTAGGATCTACTTTATGCACGGAGCCCGAACTCGAAAGCGATCTGACAGTAGGAGATGTTTCCTCGTCAGTTTTATTATCCAATGGCAAGGGTAGTAGGGATAGTTATATCACTAGATGATGCATTGATGATGCTGACTGGTTGGACCCTTAAATGGTGACAAAAACCAAACGAAAGTTAGCGAATATGTGACTGATCATAGACTCAATAGAAAAATTTCTCACATTCTTAGAATAGTGTAACGATTCTAGACTGGAGTGGGATATTGATTATACTTGTTTTAGTGAGAAATCGCGTTCTTTACTGAATATTCCTCATCCCTTATATAGTATTCAAAATATTTAGTATTCTATTACAAAAAGCTACCACATCATACACAGGCCACCGTGTGGATTGACACACTCTCGGGTGAAAAAGAGACGCTCATCATATTCAAAAACGAAAAAATGAGAAATACGTTCGAACGTCTATATAAAATCAACTGAGCGTGAAGGAGAGTATGTATATTTCATGTATGTGCAAAGAAAGAATATGGAAAGAACGATTAAGACACATATTTTTTATTAACGTAATGTGCGTATCTTTTTCTTTCTCCATAGCGAACCAATACATCCATAGAGAATAAAATGATGACCATTCTTTAAAATAATTGTTTGACAATGTATGCTAAAATACGCTTTCGAAAATTGTATCTGCATATAAGAAATTTCTATTGCTAGAAATTGTACGTTGTTCTCTGATATGAATTTTATCACTAAAGATGACGCCAATTGACGATACTTTGTTTGATATTACTTAAGTTTGACCAAAAGATCTAAGAACATTAAATATAAATATGAAGATAAAGAGATATTTTTAATTTGATTTTATCAAATATTCAGAATAGTTGCAATTATTATTCATATTAAGTTTAATTCTTTATGACAATTTGTTTAAAATTTTCTTGATTGTTTTTTCGAAAAAATATTTAGGTATCTTGGTTATTGCATGAGCTAATTATGTTTCATTTGTTTTTAAAAATTTAATGAAAACTTGTTCAAACAGGTCAGCTGCGTTCTCGCATTTCTAATGATGGGCTATAGATTTATTTTTCATAGGTTAGTCATAAGTCATCTAATGCTAGCTGCCGTATTAAAGATAAATCGCGGTAGACTTATTCATAGAGAAAGATTTTTACCAAAACTTTGGTTGTTATTAACTTTAAGTCGAATAGTCTTGACTATAGAGAAAGAGAAGATTGTAGGTCACAAGTATTATATTGGAATATCGAAGCAAACAGAGATATTAGATTCAAAATAGACAGAATTGTTTGACGATTATCGTTGACTTGATACCTATCCGATATTATTAAGTACGGAACAGAAGAAGGCATCAACGTAATGTCATATCCATTATGTTCATCAGGTTTGATGCTACGTGATTTTGAGCTAACTAAATCTATCGAACAAAGTTTAATTGATTAAATAAATGAAACATAATTGGCTCATATACTAATACTAACTAAGGTATCTAAATATTTTTTCGAAAAAGAAATCAAGAAAATTTTAAACAAATTGTCATAAAGAGTGAAATTTCATATAAATAATGATAGCAACTATTCTCAACATTTGATAAAGTTAAATTAAAAATATCTCTTTACCTTTATACTTGTATTTGTATTTAATGCTCTTAGAACCTTTGGTCAGACCTAAGTACATCTCACTAAACAGCGATGTATATATATAATTAGAATAACTATTTCTTTAGAAGCTTAACTGTGAGCTCACCTCCTGTTTTAAAAAATTTACAATTATGAAAATCAGAAGAGAATGTATCAAGGCGTGCGATTGTGGTTTTACTAAGCGACTGGTACTGGTAATTACTTAATCTACAAGGGATTACACATATATCTGTATATATATATATTAAATAACAATATCGTTCAAAGATAATCGATGACAAAATATTAGCCTAAAAGAAAAAAATATATCATCCATAGATATAACAACACAGTTGATCTGGTGAAATATCCTTCTTGAAAATTTTCATTTTCAAATACTCTTCAACTAATTAAAAAATTTGCTTATTCAAAAAGAAAAATGTCGTCGTCGTACAAAAGAAAGTAAGAAAAAAAGTATTCATCTATTATTACAAAAAGTACCTGACTTGGTAAACACATTTATTTTGTTTATTATTAAATACACTATTTTCAAAATATAGTATGATGCATTCACTGTAAAATAGAATTCTCAACGAATTTTATATTATTCATTGATTATAGTAGGTCCATACTAGTATTAAAAATAAAGCACAAGAATTTTTTCTGTTCTGTAATGAGAAGAATTTTGTTTGATGAGATAATTCTAATTCTATCAGTCAACATCTAATACATCTTTTAATATTGAGTATTTGATTGTTTTGTGTTTCTTATTTCTCAATAGAAACTATATTTTTTTTAAAGTCATTAGAAAAAAAGAATAGTTTTAATTTAGATGACTTTTTCTCTGACATAAACGAGGAAAAAATTATTAATCATTCGTAGTTTATTATAATTCTGATATATTATTTCAAATGAAGATAAATTTTATCGTATATATTTATTTTTTTATTTGAATAAAGACATATTCAATAATCAAAAGAATAATCTTTCGATTATATTCATGACGATAAGAATAAAGATATAAAAAATGTTTTTATTTTATACATTCAAATTAATGGTTAATATTACACGTAATACAATGATTTAAGCATAATTATTTTGAATATTATTTAGATTGATAGTGTATAGTAGACAAGACGTGAATTTTGTTTTTTATGTTATTACCATTAGTTTGTTCATTATCATCACGAATACGAATAAAGATGTAGAAGAATAAAAAAAGTAATTTTTGGCATTACTTCGTTGAGGGTGTGGGTGTGGATACTAGTATCTACACAGATCACACCCACACCCACACCCTCAAGATGGTTCATTTGCTTTTGCGTTTGATGTTGTGTTTATTTGAACAAAATAAAAACTGAGTCGAAACATCTTACAAAATATGTCCAATTTAGTATTTAAAAAAAATGTTTTGAGAATTATATGTTTATCAGAGACCGAAAAGTGCTGAAAATTCTTAATTCGAATTCGATTCGGTCCGAGCTATATTCGATTCGAGTTGACTCGATCTAGTCTACAAGATCTTTAAATTGTATTAGATTCGACCCGTTTAAAGATACATTCGATTCGATTCGAAATGATATCTTAAACTTCATATTCTGATTCGATTCGATTCGTAAAGCGATATTTTCCATTCGGCTCGAATCGATTCGACTTGTATTAGTTTAGAAATATATTCTTAAAGATTATTTATTATCATGAGAAAATGGACATATAGAATAACATCATTGAAGAAATCGAACTTGAGGGTGTGGGTGTGATATTAGTACGATACCCATACTCACCGACACCCGCACCCTTAACAACAGTCGTTTAATGGAAGTTGTTGAATATATTATATTTGAAGATGATGATGCGTCAGGTGATGTCATAGAAGTTGAAGAAGACAATTATTCTTCATAAATATTTGACATCATTAATTATTTGAATAGAAATTTATAATAGTAATAATAATACAGAAACAAGATGTATATTAGATACAAAAAAATGTGTGAAAATTACGAAACATAATTAATATTTCCATAATTATTGTTTCCATTATTACTGTTTACATAATTAATGTTTATACATAACGGCAAATACAACTACATTAATTGATTTGCTTTCAAATAATGTAATCTATATCTGCCTATAGATAAAACAAAAACTTAAAAGAATTCAACGTCATTGGTCGCTATATAATTAATAAAAAAAAGAGGTTACTCTCAGTCGAATATATAAGAGCGTGTTCGATTCGATTCGACGGTAGTAACCTTTAGTTAAATTCGATTCGATTCGGTAGTTTTAATATTCAATTCGAAATCGATCAAATTCGGCTGAGCCGAATAGAATCGAATCAAATCATTCGATAATTCGATTCGGTTTCGGTCTCTGATGTTTATTAAAAATGCAACGAGTGGTCTACTAACAATCACTTTTTATACCGCCATTAAAATATTATTTTTTTGAAAAAAAAGAGCTTTAATGTCAAATATTATTAATGAAATCATTAACCAAATTAAACATATGATTCTAACGTCCAATAATAGTACCTAAAATGTATGATAATAACACAATTATAATATACCATGGTGATACTGAACGAAGAACATTTCTCAAAATCTCAATACGTTTTGATAGCACGCCTTCTAATATTGGTTGTTGTGTTGACGTATGTGATGATTGTGATGACGACAATGGATCGTCAAGAGCTTCTAAACGACTGTAAATAGCATCTACAACATCATCATCACTCTTTTCTGAAATATCCATATATCCACCAAGATCTGAAAAAGGTTCGGTTATTGTTCCATCGACTGATAATAACATAATCCGATCTTTTTGACCCGCTACCCATAGACCACGTATAGCACGTTCTTCTAAACGACACCATTTTTTACGTGAATAAGCATTACACATAAAAACGACGATCAATCTTGTTTGATATCGATATATTCTTTCTAATTCAAGATCTAACTCTGGACGAGCCAATTCAGCTTGATGATTATAATCATAAAATATCCGTTCCTTTGCATCTGGTCTTTTAATTTTCACACAGAGTTTGTCCGCTATTTGCCTAACCCGATCGCGTCTTTCACCTAGAAAACAAAGAATATTCTTAATCTTAGACAATCAAATCAAAAATTAGAACTGTTTTCTGGTAATTAATTGGCGTGTATTATTAAGTAAAAAGAAATATTTAATCTTTTAAATATACCTGCAAATGAGACGGCAACATCAAATCGATGTATACGTTTAGCAACAAAATATGAATCAAGCAATTGTTCGAATTGATGGAAATCTTTTGATAGATTATTTGGATAATTAGCTCGGTAACTTCCATAATTCTAAAATCCATCAAAAATCCATAAATAAAAATGTATATATATGAACAAATAATCTTGATTTAGCACAGCATAAGAAAGTAATTTTCTTTAAAATAGATTTCCCGAGATTGAAGTCTTTCGGAAAGATATAAAAAGCTAAACTTTTTTTGAATCTATTTACTTTCTGTTTCATTTTAAACATTTCTTCTAAAGTTTTACCAGTTATAACTTCATCTGGAGCACACAAACATTCATATGACCTAAAACAAATTCAAGTATTTGGAAACAACAATAGTTTTTAGCCGTTCGCCTACTTATTAAGTCCACGCGATTGAAACCATCTCAATACTTCATCACTGTTCCATTCACTTATATCTACAAAACACGAATTAGAACTCTTTCTCAAAAGTTAAACTTACATCGATTTGAGTTCCATGGTAGATTTGTTGATATTGCCCCTGGTCTCCCTACTTCATCTTGATTTGCAGGCGGTGAAGTTGTCTCAGATATTGGTGGTAATTCTGAACCTGTATTAATTGTTGCATTCGGCGGCGTACTACTAGGAATCAAAATCGGCGAACAGTCATTTGTAACATTAACTGAATAGGACAAAAACAATTAAAGTTAGTGTAATTATTTTTTCATAACTAAAGAAGACAGTAATGACTTGCCTATTTGACGATCGTCGGGTGTAGTTGTAGGGATTTGTACATTCGTGTCATCTATGCCAAGTTGTTCATCATCTGATGTATCGGGTATCGATAAAAGAGTATCTTCTTCTAGAAAAAACACGTACGATTATAAAAAAAACTGCAAATATTTACGTCATTATCTATATTTACCTGCTGCTGATGACATACCTGAAAAGATTGGAGAAAATAGTAGTGGCTTAATCTAAAAGTAAAATTTTCAACAAACGATTCTTCTCTTTCACACTTAGTAGAGATATGAGTGAAAGTATCAAATATGAATTGGTGGAGATGAATCAGAAAAAGTATTTTACTTGACTGTCATTTTCTTCATTGTGTTGAAATCAATGAAAAAATCTGACGCAAATATAATATAAGATTGCTTTTTGCCTTCGAGAAAGAAAAACTTGCATATATACATTTATGCAATACCATAACGATGCTCTCTTGCATATGCGCAGTGACGCAAAATAGCAAAAAAATATATTTTTATTTTAATTAATTAGATTTTTAGTGATTCATAATGAAACAAAATAAATAAAGGGAGAAATGTTTGGGCTGTCAAATGGTATATTTATAAAAAAATGATTTCAAATAGCTTAGTAAATTAGGTTTTGTTGTCTATTAGTAAAATACATGGGATTGCCAGATCACCCCATGCAGGGTAATTTGGCAAAGCTATTAGTCAGTCTCACTAAAACGACTGCTGAAACTTTATCAGAAGAGATTTTTAGAAATTAAAAACACCAAGCTATAGAGAAATATTTTTACTAGATGTCTTGTATTCAAAAAAGTTTTCTATCACGAAAAATAAAAAAACTATTAACAAAATGTCACGAAAATAAAAATGAATGTGCCAAAATCACCCCTTCATATTCTATTTAATTATTCTTAAATTGTTTTTTTTCTAATTTGGTGATCATTTTTTTCTTGTTCGACGATCATTTCACACCTTTTGTGGTGATCAAAAGACATATCTCTCATATATAAAATGCAGAAAAATAACAATTTTCAAAGTTTGAAATAATTTCATTTTGTGAATTGATGAAATTGAAATTACCAAATGAATTTTTTCAATAAATGAAAATCTTTCGAAAATATAAGAATTTAATTGAAAAAAGAAATTCTATAATTCGTCAAAGAATTTTTCACATATTTGTTTTTCTCGGACATAACTTAATAAAAGCAATGAATAAATCGATTCTTTATTATATTCTTTCAGATATAATCAATACCCTTCTAGATTATAAATTTATTAAATAAGAAAATAAATATTAATTTATCTCTTAGTTCTGATTCTATCTAAAAGAGATAATTGAATTTTTGTTTTTCTTAAATTTTCAAAAAACAAATATAATAATTCAATAAAATTTAATACAATTAAATAAATCTTAAATACTTTTTATATCTCTTTTCTTTTCTTTAATATTATTCGAATTATCTTTGTTATTACATACAAATTCTTTAATTAATCAATTTTATTTTTAAACCACAATATTAAATCATCATCATTCATATAAAATCATCTTTTAGATATTTTTATATAAATTATTATCAATTTGTACAATCCTATAAAATAATAAATTATTTTCAGATAAATTTGATATTAATAAATAATCACTGAGAATAATTTTATTTCTATTTAACAATGATTAAATAAATTCATATGAAGTAATTATCTAAAAAATATATTTTTATACTTTCAAACAAAATATATTTTCCCACATTTCAATGCATTCTTGACAAATTCATCTGAAAATATTGAAGAAGCTAGATTTTAGAATTGATTTCATCATACAACTTAATCATTTTTTTAATCATTCTAATGAGATGTTTTTCATAAGAAATTCTACTTTGAATTGTCAATATGCATTATAAAGTAATAAAAACATCTTCAAATTGTTTTTGTTTCCATCAAATTTCAATCAAAAAACAACAACAAAACGACAATCTAGGGGGCGGACATGATATTCTCTTTTTCATTCACACCCACACCATCAAGTTGAATTTTGTAGCATTTCAAAAGTTTTATTTTATTTGGATTTCTTGATACATTTTTCCATCGAAATTTTTTGTTTTGTTTTCATCTAGATGAAAACCTTTTTTGATATTTGCTTTGTTCAACAAAATTCATTTTGATTTCCAATTTTTTATAGAAAATTCCTTTTCTCTTCATTTTCGAACAATTTTCAAACTTTATCAAACGCAAAATCTTCTTCTCGAATAATTTTTGTTTGATTTAATTCAAAGTACACAACATTTTCTCTTCTTATTTTCTGCAAAATTCAACAAAAGATGAAGAATTTAATATTTATTTGTTAGAGCTTTTTAATCAAAATTATTAAATCAAATTAAATATTAAAGAAAAAATTCTACTAGATCTTTCTTCAATCTTTTTTATCTAATAAAAAACTTTTTTTCTTTTTCTCAAAATCAAAATTTCATTCACAAAATTATTTCAGATTTTGCAATTCGATGATTTGTCGAATCAGCAACATAAAGATTGCCTTCACCATCAAAAGATAAACCACGGGGATAATACAACTGATTCGATTGATTTCCTCGACCATTTCCACCAACAACAATTTCACCTTCTTTTTTTCCTTCACACCAGCGCATTACTCGATGGTTTTCCCAATCTGCCACATAGATTTGACCTAAATGATCAACAACTACTCCTTGAGGATAAGACAATTGATTAAGATTTTCTCCAAAACCATTTCCTCCAGCCACAACTGTTCCTTCTTTTGCACCTTTTCTCCATTTCATCACACGATGATTGTTCCAATCTGATACATAGACAGACTGATCTTTATCAACAAAAACAAAACCAGGATAATCGAGTTGATTGAGTTGATCTCCTTCTCCATTTCCACCTGCCACTACGATTCCTTCGTTGTTATATTCTCCCATTTTCCATCGTCTCACTTCATTTTTCACACGATCAGAAACATAAAGACATCCATTTTTATCCATTGCCAAGCTATAACAGTCAATATTCTCAATCAGAATTTGTTGATTCTGATTCACCCATTGAATCACTCGGCTGTTTCCATAATCAGCAATGATGATCGAATCATTTTGTTCATCAACAATCACATCTGTTGGAGAATTTAATTGATCCATTCGGTTTCCTCGTCCATTTCCACCTGCAATGATTTCTCCTTCCTTTGCATTATATTTCCATTCAACAATTCGATGATTATCTCGATCAGTAATGAAAATATTTTTCTTTTCGTCAATGAAGATTCCAATAGGGTAATTGAGTTGATTTAATTCTTGCCCAAATCCATTTCCACCAGCTGCAATGATGGCATTCTGTTCCCATTTATTAAATTTCGGTTCTAGAGAAAGATAAAAACAAAAGGTTTTTATGAAAAGAATGAGAAAAAGAAGAAGAAAAGGAATAGATTAAATTTGAATGAAATAATCATAAACATGTTTAATGAAAAATTAAACAAAATATCTTGAGGGTGTGCGTGTGACTATCTATACTCTCAATTCACACCCACACCCACATCCGTTTATAGTAAAGTGAACAAAAAATGAATACATACGTGTTTCACATCGAGG